AATCATCCTCTATGCAAACCTGCTGGGTAACGCCACAAGGAACCCAAGAAGGGCTCCCACAGGACATACATTAACATCCCACAGCAAGGGTCTCCACTGTGCTAGCTGTAGTAAGCAATTATGAAATGGTAATCCCAGAAACAGTAGCAGCGGTGGCTGCCACTGCTATAACAGCAACAACGGCAGCAGCGATGTCAGAGTCTCTTCTGGAGCGTGTGGGCATCCACTGGCATGGATACAACTCCAGGAACATGAACAACCAAGGCCCATTTTTCTTGATCCCAGCACGACTTAAGCAGGCAGCTCTGCCAAAGAACAACTAAGAACCATAAAGAAAAAACAGGCAGCTCACAAGGAGCATAACTAATGGTCTCATAATGGCTACATTCAGGCTCATAAATTTTAAGGTATCTTTAAAGGGGGCTAAATGAATTTTAGGAGGCCAATAAATGTTGCACAGAGCCACTCCTGAAAAGTAGGTTTCCTGATCTTTTATGTATAAGTATTTACAGAGGGTCTAGAGTGTGTCTGGAGTTGGCTACAATGATGCAGTTGGGGGAGAGGGTATGAAATAAGACTGGAGTTGTACTGTTTTTGTTTAGTTTATTGGGAGCGGGGATTCGAGACAGGGTTTCTCTGTGTGTAGCCCTGCCTGTCCTGGAACTCACATATATATAATTTAACAAGTTTAAAAGGAGTTATGTGTGTGTGGGGGTAAGACTGGCCTTCTTGGCATTCAAAGAGCCCAGGTGATTGAGAGGAATAAGTGTGCCAGCTGCAAGCCCTGGGCAACCAGCAGACGCCACTGGCTGTGGCCTAAATCCTCAGTGCCCACCAGGGGGCGCCCGAGACCATGCTAATCAACCTAGAATGGGGACTCCTTTTGAGACCCTTTAAGACTTTTGAATTTCAGATTCCTCTGTGGAGGAATGTTTACTCAAAAACTTGTGACATTAGGGCCATGGCCATGACCAGGGAATGCAGCTGACAACTTACAGGCAGACCTGGGCTTTCCTGCTTTTTTTTTTTGTAATGGATTGTTACTCTGAGAACCTTTGGCTTCTATGCCAGGGTTTCTTCAGGAGACAGAGAGAGAGAGAGAGAGAGAGAGAGAGAGAGAGAGAGAGAGAGAGAGGAGACTTCTGTTGAGCTATTACTCACATATTATATAATCCATCTACACACTTCAGTGTGTAAGTGTGGCCATGAGTCATTGTGTGGACGGACATCAGAGGGTGTGTCCATTCTCACCTTCCACCTTGTTTGAGACAGGGTCTGTGTTGTCCCCCTGTGTAAGCAGGCTAGCTGGCCTGTGTGCCTCCTCGTCTTCCCATCCCGGTCTGAGGGGCGCAGGAATTTTGGGTGCATCCCTACCAGCTCGGCCTTACATGGATTCTGTTTGCTCCTCCAAGCATTGAACACAGAGTTATCCCATGGTTCTGGAGCTGCACCTCTAGGAATCTTCTCAAGTTCTGGAAGCCACAGTGCCTCTGTCTCTGTGGGTTTGTCTGTCCCATGCATTCCATAGCTGTGGGCCTCACACCGGAGGACTCTCTGCTTCTGTCTTCCTTCACTCAGCTTTACACTTTCAAGGCTCACCTGTGCATTAGAGGTCAGAATGCCATCCCTTTTCATGGGTGAGTAATATTCCAAGTGGGAATGGCCTGTATGTATTTATCCATCCATTCATTAATGGATATTAAATTGCTTTTCACTTTTAGTTGTTGTATATAGTGCTATCATAATATTTGTGCATGTTTTTGCTTCGTCTGTTTAATTTTAATGACTTTTAAACATTTATTTCTTTACAATTTATTTATTGTATGTGTGTGTACATGGCACACGTATGTAAGTCAGAGGACAACTTGCGGGACTCAGTTCTCTCCTTCTACCATATGGATCTCAGGGACTGAACTCAGGTCCTCAGGCTTAGCAGAAAGCCTTTACTTACTGAGCCATGTTGCTGGCCCCTGACTGGCTAATTTTAAAAGGACAACGTAAAGTTACTGGAAGAAGAAAATCTCCCTTGTCCAGAGGTAGAATCAGGAGATTTATAACCCAGTTCAGGAGTTTTCCTTCCTTCTTATCTTAGCAAGAACCAGGGTGTGAGGTGGGAAGGAGACAAGAGAATACTTTCTTCAGAGTGTAACTCACCGGCTTGGACCAGAAGCCAGGGGCCTGGGGCTGCTGCCTGCTGAGTTGCAGTAGTTGCTCAGGTATAGCACTGAGTGGGTTCCTGGGAAAGGTGAGGCCTCAGGTTGAAGTCTTGTTACTTCCTGCCCAGCTGCCTGGGACTTGTCGCTTAATCCGCCAGAACCTGTGCCTACCTCCCATTAATGGAAACCCTGGAGTAGAGAATGGTTTTCTGGATGAAATGGGATCGTGTGCTAACACGCTCTGGCTGGGTGAGGATAATCCTCGGGCATTTACGGGAGTCCGAGGATGCTGGAGAGCAGGTGGGCTGCGTGCCTCAGGATCCCTGGCTTGGCTGTTTGGGTTGAAGGTGCTTGGGGCAGGGACAGTGAGAGGATGATAAAGGCTCTGTAGGGAAACAGGCTGAGAGGATGCAGGCTCAGGCAGGCAGAAGCTGACCGGAACCTCAAGTTCTCCTGTCTGGCTCAAATCGTGACTGTAATCAGCCCGAGGAGGAGTATTTGCGCAGAAAAGCACTCTGGGAGATGAGAGGATGCTTTCTTATCAGGGGATTTTTCTCTTAGGCCTTCCCATGTGGAGTTCACTGATAACTTTGGAGGGAGTTTTGCCGGGAAAAGGCAATAAAAGTGATAGAGAGGCTGGAGGGCCCGCTGATGAGGCCAGATGAGAGGACTTGGCCTCTGGGTTGATTTAGAGGAGCTGGGCCCTGAGCTGGCAGGTGCTAAGGGTCCCAGATGGAAGTAGGAGTTGAGAAGAGTCTGGGAACATGATGGGAGGGCTAACAAAGTGACTCTCTGGAAAGGGAGCAATAGGCAGCCATTCAAGATGCCGCCTGGGCACAGAGCCTGCTTAGAGAATGATGGCCTCTGGAGGGCTGTGGAGATGCTCTGGGGCTTGATACAGCTAATGTTTTACAAGATCAAGGGCTTAGGAACTGCTCTGTGGGGAGCGACGCCTCTCTCCATCTCTGTTGGTCCCAGGCACGCTACCTCCTCCCCAGGCTTATTTGGAAGTGCTGATTAGGCTTGCAGCCCAGACCTTCGGGACTGTGCACGGACCCTGGCCTACTGGTGTGGGCCAGAGGTGAGCTCAGCAAGGCCGTCTGGGGGCGACCCTTGGCTGTGGTCTCTGGACCAGCTTGATGAGCAGGCATTTGACCAGTTCTGGGCTGGCCTCCCTCCCTCCCTCCCCTCCTTCCCCCTCTCCTCCCTCCTTCCTTCCTTGTTTCTTCCCCCCTTTCCACCTACACTCCTCCCTCCTTCCCTCCTTCTCCTTTTCCCTTCCTTTCTCCCTCTTATTTATTTATTAGTTATCAAATTCTATTTGTGTGTGGAGGTCAGAGAGCAACTTGTGGGAGACCTTCCTCATGTGGGTCCTGGGGATAGAACTCAGGTCATCAGGCCTGGTGGCAAATGCCTTTATCCAATGAGCCATCTGGCCGGCCCCTCCCTCTCTCTTTTGGATAATTCTTGCTACGCAGCCCATGCTGGTCTAGAGTTCTCCATTCTCCTGCCTCAGCCTGCTGAGTGCTAGGATCACAGGTGTATGGCACTTGTATTAGTTACTTCTCTGTTGCTGTGATAACACACCACAGCCAAGGCAACTTATGGAGGGGCGCTGCTTACTGGCTTGCCTTCCCTTGGCTTGTTCCACCTGCTTTCTTATAGAACCCAGGACCACCAGCCCAGGGAAGGCACCACCCGCAATGGGCTGGGCCCTCCCCCATCAATCACCAATTGAGAAGATGCCCTACAGGCTTGCCCACGGCTTGATCTTATAGGAGTTCCCTCCGCTCAGCTGACTCTAGATTGTGTCAGGATGACAGAAAACTAGCCAGCACAACTCTGCACCCCACTGGGCCGGCTCCTTTACTTCTAGAATCCCCGGCTCATGAGGTCAAGTCACATGCAGTTATCAGACGGCTATGTGTCTCTCATCCCTTGTCTGTTTGCTGATTTTAAGAGAAGCAGCGACATTCTGGTTGTGGTGTTCAAGTGGGGACTGGATATATCAGTTTGGGAGTTGTCACCACCAACCATGGATGGTCTGAATGCCCTGATGTGGGGTGACTCACAGAGGAGGCGGAGCTGAAGACCCTCAGACTTGAGTTCCCACCTAGAGTCTGGGAAACACAGAGGGGCGGGGCGGGAGGGAGTGGAGGTGATCGTGACAATCGGTTATGGGGATCTCCCATATTGCAAACACTCATGAGATGTGTGTAGGGACAAGGGCCCTCAGGGAGTGTCAAGGAACAGACCATCATCAGACTGAGCGGCAAGTGCAATGACGTTCTCTTTATGGAGACTTGGACGGAAGTGAGGAGGGCATCCAGAGTCCTTGGGGATCCTCAGAACTGGCGACACTCGATTTGGGTCTTTAAAAAAGAACACAAACAAGGCAGTGTTGAAAAGAAAGGAGAAAGAATGTTCCGAAGAACTTATAAGAGAGACATAAATTGAGCACCATGGATGTTAAATGGGGGTTCATGGTTTGGGGGAATGCCTGATTTGATTGGCAGAGCATGTGGAGACAGCTCTGGATTTGAGCCTTTGGGCTGTGGCCCCTGTCAGGGCCAGTCAACAGTGGATGGCAAACCACAGTCAGCCCATTTCTGGTTTTGGAGAGCCCTGTAAGATGGAGGTGAGTTTTATATCTTTTCTACTGATTGGGGAAAGTTGTTTTAAGGCTAATAATTCATAAATATGATATACAATCCAAATTAAAATCTGTGATAATTTTCAGTGATGAGATGACTTAAAGTCATCTGGAAGGTGGGTGAGGCGAGGGTGACTAAGACAGAAGTCAGGGCCTTGAAGGAGCTGCCCTCCTGAAGTCACCTGTGTGTGAGGGAAGAGACCTTTTGGAGTGTTATCTGTTCCTGCTTCTAGCATTTCACTTCTTCCTCCTCTCGTCAGTCAGCAGCCAGGAGTGAGCCCATGACCTCCACAGGTCCTGCATCCCACCTGGAATGTTCTCTCTGGCCTGTTGTTTATGGCAGGGCCGTCAGGTGTCCTTTCTGGGAGCACGTCCCCTCTCGCTGGTCGGACGAGTGTGCCCTTGACCTAGAGTCTGATTCATTGTTTTGTTTTTTCTCCTCAGGAACAAGTTGTCCCCACAAGGACAGGTGCCAAATCTTGTTTGCTGGGTGGGGGAAGCCACCACACTGCTCCCAAGGGACACATGTGGCTCTGGAAGCTGCTTCTAAAGACCTGTAAACAGAGAGGGAGCTGCTTGAGAGTCTGTGACACCCCTGGAATCCCATGATGGCCGACCTGAAGGCTTTCTCTATGAATCCTGTGAGTCCTCAGCTGAGTACTCTCTGGAACCAGGATACCTGTGTCACGTGGATGGTGTCAGAAGGACACTGTCCTCCAGTGGCCTGACAAGTCAACAAGATGATTTGCACTCAGCCAGCGCCACACCCAACCCCCATCAGCAGGGGCAGCCTTGATGGTGGCTAAGAAAAGATTTAGAGCTCATGTAAGATTGCTCTAGCACTTCGCCGCTGGTGACCTCTCCGTACCCCAGCTTCCTGCACTTTATAAGATGTGGCAGTCATCACCCCACCTCATAAAGTCTTCATGAGAATGCAACGGTCTCAGGCTTTAATGTACCTAGGATGAAGGAGAGCGATTCTGTGGAGGACCCTGGCTCTCTGCTCTCTCCGTTCCCAGGACATCCTATTCGTGGGCTCCCTGGCATGTTGGCGGTCTTGTTCTTAGGTACAGGACGGTACTACTGTAAAAGCCTGCTTACTACTGAGTTGAGCACCCAGCTCCTAGTGGGCTCTGGATAAATATTGGACAAACGAATCAATGATTGACACTCAGCCAGTCAACAGGCTCTTCCTGGAAAGGGGGGTCCGGGGGAAGCACCCTCCCTGTTAATTCCCAATGGCCTTCCAAAGCGGGAGGCTCATTTCCCATACTGGTTCATCCTGGCCTTGGGTGTGGCTGGGAGTCTGCAGGGTCTTAGAGCAAGGTTCCTGGGAGAACGGGGCAGTGTGTGAGGCACAAGGGCTTCAAAGACCAGGAGGTGGAGGGAAGGCAGCTTCCAGAGGACACAGGCTTCCAGAGGTCAGGACAGAAGCCGCTTCGCAGTGGTCTCCAAGTGCGGCTTGGAAAGGAACCAAGGGTTGGGATTCTGGGTGGAGTGTTAGGCAAACACTCTACCACTGAACTGTATTCCCAGCCCACAAGTTCGTTCGTTATTCATTCATTCATTCATTCATTCATTCATTCATTCATTCATTCATCCAACAAACACATACTGAGGTTCTAAGCTGGTCAACAATGCATCAGACATAGATTTTGCCCTGAAAGACCCCAGTTTGGGGGCAGGGTCAGACAAGAGAGGCAGACAGATAATTACCAGAAACAGGCAGGCGAAGGTTGAGTCTGAATCACAGGTAAGGGTGTGAAGAGATCCCAAGCATGACTTCCTGATAGAGGAGAGGTGGGGCTCTGGGTCAAGAGGCTTATGGGAAGGGTAATGCCTGAATGGAGAGTGGAAGATTAAAAAGCACTTGTTTGTGGTGGGGAGGTGGGAGAACATTCTAGAAAGAGGAGAACAGGGTGAAGACCCACAGACAGGGAAGTGTGTGTGTAGAATTGGGCAGATGATATGTTAAATGAGAGGCGTGGGCTACAGGCATGACGGATGGTGAGGAAGTTAAGGATTCTAGGTAGGGCTGCAATTTAACTCAGTGGCAAGCATTTACTTAGCATGTGCAAGGCCATGAGTTCAATCCTCAATAGACTAAATGGAGGCCGCATGTTCTTTTTGACTTGTTTTGTGTTGAGGCACAGTCTTCATTGACTCTCGCCAGGAATCCACTGGTCCTGAGGACCCCTGTGAGCTCAATGACTTCTTTGCGTTCTTTCAGGTTGTTTCTGCAGCCTCCTGGGCTTCTTCTCCCAGTAACAGATGGATTTGGGAATTGAAATCCTTCCGTTTCCCATGGCCCGGTACTGCCAGCCAGCCTCATAAGCCACATGCCCCAGATGAACAAGCTTTCTGGTTAGGCTTCAGCTGCACAACCTTGAGGCCAGCAGGAACCATGAGCCACTTTTTCTTGTCACTGGTGGAGGGATCCCATCTAAGATCTAGAGGTGTTCCAGGGCGGGCTAGCCTTGCTTGGTCTTGTAGGGCAACATTGCCTCACACTGTTTGCCAGAAAAATACAGGGCCTGGAAGTGGTAGGATCCCCCGAGGAGGGTTGGTGTTCATCTGCCGTGGAGAAAGGCCGGGTACTTTGTTTTGTTGATATACTCAAATGCACGACGACCACCTTCTGACCACAACGGCCACCAGGCAGCCCAGAAGATAGCGTGGGCCATCCAGCACTAGAACCTGCCCTCCGCCATCTTTGTTAACGGGGCTTGCGGCTTTATATAATGCTAAGTCAGGAAACTACAGCCACCTCTGCCTCTTCCAACAGCGGATGCAACGCTCCATCTAGCTTCCACACAGAGGATGCTATAAGCTTCTTGGGCAATCCTCCTAAGACTGGTTCTACTTCAGGCAGAGCTGAATCCAGGTACCCATGTGGTCACCAGTGAGTGTCCCCTGGGCCACTGGAAAGAGGACTGCTCCCAAGCCTAACAACCCAATTGTGATCCCGAGAATCCACACAACAGGAGGAGAGAATTGACTCCGACAAGTTGTCCTCTGACCTCCACATGAGCACCATGGCATGACATGTGCACACCCATGTATTCCCAAGTGTACACACACACACACACACACACACACTCGGAGGCACGGCCCTTGCCATTCTATCCAGGAAGCTTGCTGATAATGGATCCAGACAGTGCCACTTTCTGGGCTGTTCAGGCATGGCCCCGAGGTGGTTTTGGGCTCGGTCACTACTTGTCTCCAATGACCATGGTGATGATTGACAAGACTTGAGGTGTGAGCTGCTCTCAGAGGTAAGGGCCGGGCAGCTGTGTGAATGGATAGGGCTGGTGATTTTTTTCCTAAAGTAAAATGGGGGTGCTGCAATCGGAGGGGTAGTGGGTGCTAGCTGGGGAAAGCAGGGCAGTCCAGTGAGACTCTTATCTGATTCCATTTGTCGGAATCATACGGAATAGAAACCATTGGTAGTGATGGGGGGGATAACTGCTCAAGGAGGATGGGCTTTCCTTAGGGGTGATGATGGTTTGCACAATGCTGCCAATTACATCAAATGCAACTGAATTGTTCACCCTGTGGGTTTTTTTTCTTTCTTTCTTCCTTTTCTTTTTTCTTTTTTTGGTGTTGGGGATCAAAACCCAGGGTCTCATGAAAATGAGGCAGGTGCTTTGCTACTGAGCCCCAAATTACTCACTTTAAAATGGTGAATTTTTTTCTGAATCCCATCTCAATACAAAAGTGACTTTTCCCTCCCTCATCCCAGCATCTTGGGGCACTCCATCTTCAAGGGCCATTGGGGTTTGTGACTTTTTTCCTTTCATTACTGCTTGGGACTTACACTGGATTTTAGCCAGAGGGGGCCGTACAGAGGAATAGGGCGTGGCCCTGGCAAGGCGCTGCCCACTGCAGGGCCACGGAAATGCCTGGGTGTTTTGTCCAGAGGTACAGTCCTGTGCTTTCATGAGGCCCGGTGAAGCGAGCCCCAGTGTGGTGCCAAGGACATCTTGTTCGGAGGAGAGGTGGCACTCTGGGCTTCCCTGGGGGCCACTTGCAAGCCGTGGCACCTGTTTTCTTTCTGGCTTTGGGGCCGGGAAGGGCTCTTCCTCCTCAGGGTCCACTGCTCCAGCTGGCTGAGGACACTGGAGGTTCTGTTTTCCGTCCTCACTCGGCACTAGAGATGCTTGCTGAGGCTACTGAAAGGCTGGCCACACTGGGATTTCGAAGGTTTTATCTCGTTCTCCGAGCCTGTCCGCATTCTACGTGCTGGAGTTTGGGCAGAGCCCAGAGCTGTCTGTGGCTCCCGGAAGGAGCACACTGACACCCCCAGGAACGGGTCTTTCTCTTTCTTAGGCGAACACCCTCCATCCTGCCCCACAAACTGGCAGTGGCAGGACTTTGGGGACAGTGCTGGGCTCATCTGGTGAGAGCATGGAGACCGGCCCCTTTGCCCGAGCTGTGCTCTTGGTTCTGGCTTTGAGCTAGAGGAGAGCTGGTCTGTGGCTAGAGCTTCTAGGACACCTGGGCCACTAAGTCCCTGGGCCTACTCCACCACACAAAGCCATGGGCACACTGGCTTAGAATCTCCCTGAGATGTTACAGGCTCTGTTTGAGGATGTTCTCCAAACTGAAGGGAAGGACTGGAGGATGGCCGCACACCTCGCTCCCAAGTGCTGAGGAGGCCTCTCACTCTTAGCCCTGCCCAGTGGTTACAGGGTAGAAATTCTCTCTGGTGTTGATTCTGAAAGAGACAGTGTGGGGAGCCTGTCCGGGAGGACTGACTTCCAATCCCGACCCCAGCACTTACAGCTGAGGGACTCTGGATGGACCACTTCCCTTCACAGACCCCTAGTATCCTTAGATGTAAAATGGCACTGAGATTCCTAACTACAGCTCTCTCACCTTCCCCCAACTCAAGGCCACTCAGAGCTCAGAATATCCCAGGAAACAGGCTGGGCCTGCTTTAGGCTCTTCTCTCGTGTACGAAGTACCAGCAGGCTGGGGCTAGCCTTAGATAAATCCATCTTATAAAGCAACAACCTTGACCTAAGCTACAACATTTTGAGAATAAGAACCAAGAAAAAAAATAACTTCACATTTCAATACCAGTGAACAGCCACCAGCTTCCAGCACCAGGAGGCACGGATTGGTTATCACTTATGCCAATGAACAACAGTAACATCTGAGAGAACCTCCAAGCATATCAGAAACCCAGACCCGAGAGCTTTTCACTCATGCTGGATGGAGGCCCTCACTCAGGACTATTAACGGCGTGCACCAAGGCAAATGCGCAGGCGTGCTGGCTAGTCACGGTCACTTGTCTTGAGCCTTGCCCATGAACGTTAGCACACAGAGGACTCCTGCCTGTGCCCCTGGTCTCTAGCTCAAATGCATTTCTCCTGCTTTTAATGCCCAGCCCACTTCAAACTGACCCTGTGACCGCCCCGGCCTTCGGGTCCCCTGCAGACCCTTTCATGCTTGTATTGGCTCTGCCCCCAGCCTCAGCACAGCCTCTCTGGCCTGAGCTGCCTCTAGTAACCCTTTCTTAGACATTCTGTACATGTTATCTGGGATACGCGGTCTGGAACCCAGCAGCCTGGCATTAGCAGCCAGCTGCCAAGTGAAATCGGGATTACCTGGCAAATCGCAGCTCATAAAGCTGACGTGGCTCCTGAATTTATCACTAATTGACAAATTTTGACCGCGAGGAATGGCACAAATATGTCCGAGACAATGACCTGTTTCAGAAATAGGGCTTTGGCAAACGTAACTGGAGATCTTCATATGTAACTGTCTTGGATTTGGGTGGGCCCTCCGTCCCATCCCTGGTGTCTTCATATGAAGAAGATTGGACCCAGAGGGACGAAGAGAGGAGACAAGGCCAGCTGAGATCAGAGGCGGGGAGAGCATGGCCACGGCCATGGACTGAGGAAACTGGTCTACCACAGGCTGGAGAGGCCAGAATAGCTTCTCCCCAGAGTGTCTCAGGGGAACACGGCCCTGCTGATACCTTGATTTTGGCCTTCTGGCTTGCATTAGAAGGAATACATTTCTGTTGTTTTTCAGACACCAGTTTCTGGTAATTTGTGATGGTGGCACCATTCCAGAGAGGGAGACACCCTCCCTGTGGGCAGCCATCACTGGAGCATTTGCCCTAGAGCACATAGTAGATGCTTATTAAAACCCAACATTGCCTGTGCTGCTATCCCTGAGGACACTGTGGGCAACACCAAGGCAGCCACGTGACTCTTTCATGGGACGGCCTGTGACCCTGCGGGGGACCCAGGTATCACAAGGAACAGCCTTGGGGCTCCAGGGGCAGTTGCTTCTGCTGACATAGTGTTTTGCTTAGCATTCCTGGCTGGAGTCTTGGAAGGACGGAGCCAGAGGGAGGGGATGGAGATTGCAGCTGGGGAGGGCAGCAGGGCTGAGGCCTTCGAGAGGAATGCTTACCACCCTGAGTCAGGGCATGCGGGCCAATGGCCGTTTGCTGACACATCACACCCCGGAGGGAGGACGGCAGTGACCTCATGCTGCTTGTCAAACACTCAGCACCCTCCCAGCACTGCCCAGTGCTTCAGCGCTGCCCAGAGGGAGCTGTCCCCACCCCACCCCTGCCTGGCTTTCCGAGTCCACCCCTCCCCTGCACATAGGCCAACGAGCAGGACAAGCAGACCTTCGGGCCAAGACTCGAGATGCTTTTGGGGCGAGGTGAATGGTTCCCACTTCCCCAAGGGCAGCGGGATCGTAAACCCTGGAACACAAGATACACAGCTGCACACAGCTGCACACAGCTGCCGCCGCTGCACAGAGCAAACACTCTGGAATAAGCTTTGGAGGACTCAGACCCTCCTGCCTCTCACCTATAAAAATGATGGTTTACAGATGGGGAAACTGAGGCCCAGAGGCTCTGTGGGCTTGCTAGATATATCTCTGAACCAAAAGGCAGCCTGGAATAGGAGCCTGGTCTGGACTAACAATTCATCTTGGGACCAAGTCTTCTGTAAGCCCTGGGCCAGGAGGGCCTGGAGTCAGCCTCTGGATTTTTGATCTTTAAAACCTTCTGATTTCTTTCTTTCTTATTTTTTGTTTTTTTTTGAGACAGGGTTTCTCTGTGTGGCCCGGGCTGTCCTGGAACTCGCTCTGTAGACCAGGCTGGCCTCAAACTCAGAGATCTGCCTGCCTCAGCCTCTCAAGGGCTGTGATTAAAGGCGTGTGCTACTATCACCAGTTGTCTTTATTCTTTAAAGATTGATTTTAAATTGTGTGTGTGTGTGTGTTTGTGTGTGTGTGTGTGTGTGTGTGTGTGTGTGTGTGTGTGTGTGTGTCTGGTGTGGGCATGTGCACATGCCTGCCAGTGCTGACAGAGGTCAGGAGAGGGTGTTGGATCCCTTGGAACTGGAGTTACAGGTGGCTGTGAGCCACCTGACCTGGGTACTGGCAACCAAACCCTGGACCTCTGGCTGAGCATCAAGTGCTCCTAACTGTTGAGCCTTCTCTCCAGCCTGTGCTCTGGGGTGTGAGGTCTCAGCATGTAGTGGTGAGGCCTGAACCCAGAACCTCACACACGCTGGGCAAGACTACTGAGCCACATGCCAGTCCCAGCCATTCAATCCTTTTTGCCTTTACCTGAAAATAAATGTGTCTGCTGGCATCTATCCAGTCTCCCTCCACGCATGCCCTACCTTGAGAGAGAGAGAGAGAGAGAGAGAGAGAGAGAGAGAGAGACACTTCCCTAGGTGATGGATTTGGGGTCTTTCTTGATGACCATGAGCTACAATTTTGGCAGAGCCCATGAAGATGGGACATGTAGCATCCAACATGGAATCCTGAACGTCCAGGCATCTTGAAAGCCTAACCTGTCCTCCATCCACCCAGGAGAGGGTTACAGCCTTCACTACAGCTGAGCCAAGTTGGTCCACAGACCTTGACAGGGGATCTGGAACGTGGGCAAGGCTAGCTGGCGCTCCCTAAGCTCCTGCTTATTTATTTTACCATTCTAACTAGAGGCCAATATTTAAGCATCACCTAGGCAACAGCCCAAATCTCCCAGCCATTGGCCCCCGTCCAGCCCCACACGGTTGGGATGAGGGCAAGGGGTGGGGCAAAGAAAATGAGTCACCCCCACCACCATCACACACCACCTGGGAAAACAGTGACCCAAAAAACAAACCTTGGTTTCTCGTCCAGAGAAACTTTTTCCGTGTGGTCCTGCGGCCGAGCACTTTGAACACCAGCAGGACAGTCACACAGGACCTGTCAACGCTTTTTGTTCTTGTCCTTGTGCTGGTGAGCATTGTTGACTTTCTGAAAAAAAATTTATCAGAGTAATATGTGGGTGAAAAGTATACAAACTGTTAAGTGTACAACTCTAGAGAACCGTGTGAATCTCCCTAGCAGAACATGTGACCAGCCCTTGGGAGCTGTTGGACCCCCAGGGCAAGAGATATTATCCTAACTTCTCACCATTGCCTTGTTATTTGTTCCTTATATAAATGGAATTATACATTCTGTCCTAAGTTGAGGCCAACAGTGTTTCTCAGTTTGGGCCACACTCCTCCCTCCCTCCAGTTCGGGGACTGGAGGACAAACGGAGGGGGCCACAGGTTGTGGGGGTATCCGACTTCAGCTAATCAATGGTGCAGGGGAAGTGTGGCTTTGGGAATGCCTCAGGTCTGGGCTGGGGAGATGCTTCAGCCATTAAAGCACTTGCCAAACAAACAAGACGGACCAGAGTTTGAATCCTCAGAGTCCTTGTAAGTGGTAGGTGCAGTGGCTGGCCTGAAATTCCAGCATTTTGAAGGTGGAGATAGGGGATCCATTGAGCAAGAAAGATAGAAGAAGAATCTCAATGTCAACTTTGTGTCTCCACACACATTTGTACTTGTGTGCATTTGTACCTTCCCACTTACATGTGAACATGCATACACACACACACACACACACACACACACACACACACACAGAGACGGAGAGAGACAGAGAGAGAGACAGAGAGAGAGAGAGAGACACAGAGAGAGAGACAGAGAGAAAGCATTATTTATGCATAAATTTTGTAGCTGAGCTTTCTTGGGTCTGTGTCTCCTTGTGCAGTGGATGGAGAGAGGGGTGTAATAAAGTCACAAGCCTAAGTCTTGCTTCTTCTACAGCAAGCCAGGGCAGCATCCCCGCCTCCTGTTTTGATGCCTCCTCGGTGGAGGGCACGGACTACAGCATCAGCAGCTGGGCATGTCCTGTACCAGGCAGTGATGGGTCCTGGGTCCTGGCTGTGTGGGCAGCATCTCTGCAGCCCCTAGGGCAGCTATGGCTCTTTTTGTCCCAGGGCTGGGGAGGGGATGGCCATTCATGGTGCCAGCGAGTCTCCAGCTGTCTAAACCAAAAGATTAGCTTTCCAAACCTCTGATCCATTACAGTCTGCAGTCATTGTGAAATGCAAGAATGGCCTACTTAAGAAAATGAGATGGGAGAGACAAAGGCCATACAAAACACAGGCCCTACAGATGAGGACCACCGCAGAAAGCCATAGCCAACCAGAATACAGAGTTATAGAGCCCAGTACCAATGAACACATCTACAAAACCACTCCCACGCCTCAGGCCAAGGGAACACTGAGGAAAAAGGTGCAAAGTTGGTAAGAGCCAGAGGACAAGAGACTTTGCTGAGACTGTGCCTCCTAGTGACAGCAGAAGTGACACCTGTCAAGTCTCACCAGCATGACCACCCAAACACGAGCTGAACCAGAAGGGCGCCGACAAATATTCCAAAACAAGGCCTCAACCCTCCACAAAGAACTAAAGGCAACTGAGGCAAGCTGGGGGTGGGAGAGGTGGTCCTCCTTAGGGAAGAGCACACCAGTTGGTTGTCCACTGCCAGAGGGTCAGCCCTGAAAACATACATACAAGGAGCATTATCTGGACTGAACAGGTTACATTTGGGATAACATATGTGTGTGTGCATACAATAAGAATTGATTAAACAAGAGAGCATGACTTTGAAGGAGAGTAGGGGGGGGTAGATAGGGGTTTGGAGGTAGGAAAGGGAAGGGAGAAATGTAATTAAATCCCAATTTCAAACCTCCCCCATGACACACAAAATGACCCCCACAAAAGAAACCAAAACCAACATATAAGCCCAATACAAATACAAAACAAAGACATGTGCATTCAGTGAAATTTATAAGCAAAAAATACAAGCCCTGATTTTATTATATTATATTATTTTATGTTGGTATCAACAGATTCAAGGGTTATGTAATGTTTTTGCTTTTAATATGAAACAAAGCCTACTAAGTCAGACCGAAGATGTCTGAGCAGGCAGACCTCTGCTGCAAGCCGGGCGATCAGAGCTGGTTTTCCAGAGCCTGCGTGGGGGAAGGAGAGAACAGAGTCCTGCACGTCCTGCTTTGCCCTTCACACTCACACTGTGGCCTGAGTACTCCCACTGCACCTACACATATGCACATGGGTAAAGTAAGAAGCCAGGAAGCCAGCCAGACAAACAGAGCAGGAGAGAAGGTGTGTAAGCTTTACCGTGCTCACTCTGGCTGCCGGGCACAGACCATGGACGCTGTGAGAGTCTTATGTAAACAGCCCCCTTCCGGCCTTCTCTGCTCTGAGGGACTCTACACTGCCAGTCTGCTGCAACCCTCCCATATCCTAGACATGGCCTCCGCTATGACCTCTCATCTCCTTGACATGGCCTCCGCCATGACCTCTCATCTCCTTGACATGGCCTCTGCCATGACCTCCCATATCCTTGACATGGCCTCTGCCATGACCTCCAATCTCATAGACATGGCCTCTGCCATGACCTCCCATGTCCTTGACATGGCCTCTGCCATGACCTCCAATCTCCTTGACATGGCCTCCACCATGACCTCTCATCTCCTTGACATGGCCTCCGCCATGACCTCCCATGTCCTTGACATGGCCTCTGCCATGACCTCCAATCTCATAGACATGGCCTCCACCATGACCTCCCATATCCTTGACATGGCCTCCACCATGACCTCCCATCTCCTTGACATGGCCTCTATTTCTGCCTGTGCTGCTTTAGCTGAAGTGGAAGACCAGCCCCTCTGTTCAGCTCTGGCAGGGTCTCTCGAGGGCTGCAGGAATGCACACTTGGTTCTTGGGTTGTTGTTTTTTTTTTTTCCTAGATTGTTCAGAGTGATGCGTGGCTCCTTTTGGCCCCCGTGGCTTTTCCTTCTCGGATGGCACATTTCCCCTCATGAACTGGTTGGGAGCATAACACAAATGACAAAAGGTGGGATGTCCTGGTTTCCCCTTCTCAGGTCACCTCAACCTTCATTCTGCATCAAAGCCTGCAAACTCCCGCCCTGCTTCCTCAGGGAGTGCTGTGGGTTAGGGAAGACGGTCCTGCTAGGAAGGGTAGGTGGCATCTTGGTCCTGCTTCAGAGACTTAGTCCTGTGTTCTGTCCATCCCCATCCTATGCCTTTTTTTTTCCTCAGAAAAAAACAAAACAAAACAAAACATGCCACAGCTTCATTCATCCAAGGTCACCACCAGGTACATGATCACTTTACCCACTTTGTTCCTTCAGGGCATTCACGGTCTTTGCTGCTGTTAATTCTACCAATCAAGAATAAGACCACTACCACAGTTTAAAGTCAAAGTTGTGTCGAGCTTTAATTAAATACTGGCCAGGTGGATGAGCTCTGGCCAGGTCCATACCCAGATTCCTGGGAAATGGCCCAGAACCACAGTTTGCAGCAGTTTAAGAAGGAAAAGCTGTAATTCATCGTATTTCCCATCAGGTCCAATCAGGGGCAAGCATACAAACCTGACATACCTCTGGCCTACATCCAATCAGGGGCGAGCGCACATCCTGATGTATTTCCTGCCTGTGAACCTCCCGCCCACATGTGATCCAGTGCAGATAGGTCACACAAACTTGTTCAGGGAGTGAAAACATGGAGCTTGTTGCCTCTCATAAACAATAGCTCCAGCATTTCAGGAACTGTCTGTCCTTGGGCAAGGGGCTTGCAGATCAGAAATATTTTCGTTTCATGGATTTTAGGCATAGTAGTTAAAACTTAAAATGTAATGTTGGCTCTCACATTCTTTCCTTGAGTTGTATCCCAAGTCACATCCTTGACTCCGTAATGGGTACTTATGTATACTGGGATCTAATAAACATCAGCTTAATGGTACCCAGACAGGAATTATCATTTTAGGTAAGGCATCAATGATGCAAGAGTCAACAGCAATTAGCGGAATAACCTTAAATTTGTATCAATATACAAAAATCTATATCAATATGAAATATTTGAGACTGGTAGTTTTTTAAAAGTAGATTCAATAATCCATTTTTGTTTGTTTGTTTTTTGAGACAGGGTTTCTCTGTGTAGTTTTGATGCCTGTCCTGGATCTCGTGCCGTAGACCAGGCTGGCCTGAACTCACAGAGATCCTCCTGACTCTGCCTCCTGAGTGCTGGTAGTAAAGGTGTGCCACCACAGCCTGGCTCCATAATCCAATTTTTTATCCTATCTTTTTTATTTTAAAAGTAGATTCAATAATCTATCTTTTCTTATACCCCTCCCCCTTTTAGAAAAGAATCCCTGAATCTACCTCCTTTGTTTAGTTTCTTCCCTGACCATGACCAACAACTTGCAACCAACCCCTTTAAACAATGACAGACATCCACCAAATGACCAGAAACTATTTACCCACCTCTTGGAAATGTAGGCGTTGTGTTCTCTAGACTGCTTCCTGTTGTCTGGGGGTGATGGCATCTCCAGGGGACCCTGAGAAAATCCAGACAATGGTCAAGTCCTGGGAAAACTAGTTGTAACATTTGTTGTCCAGTCTCAGAACTGTTCCCATGCAGAGGGATCAGAATACATGTCACCTGTCCTGTAGTCTTTGTTGGCTTTCTCCCTCATGTCTGCAGCCAAGATCTTTAGAAGGTCTCCCCTGGTCAAATCTGATCTTTATTAATTTTGAAGGAATCCATAGCTTTTTATTTCTGTGGAAACAAAAGCATAACCTCTCCCACAAGGCAACACATTTCCAGACTTCCATTCTGAAGCCAAGACATCCTAAGTATATAGGCTGGTTTAATTCATCAGTTCCTTCCATAATTCAATGTCTCTCAGCAGCTGCTGTTTATTCTTCATTAAAGACTTTACTTTAGTCAAGTTTTTCTTAATTATCCTTGACAGTTTACAATAATGTATCAGCTTTCACAAGACTAGGACTTTCTGGGGTAGGGCTTGTGAGCAGGGACTCGGGGAACCTAGAGGCCAGCATTACCCTTGACAAGTTAACAGGGACCACAGCCATGTGTTAGCGGGAGGGCCACAAGTTCCTTTGCCAGGAGGCAAGAACTTTCTTCAAACCCCTGAGGGAATGGGGGCTTTATCAAAATGCCTGACCTTGGGAAAAGGACTTTATACCTTTATCTCTGTTAACTTTGAGCCTTAAAAAACAAATTTCTCAATTGAAGCTACTTTCAGTATCAAAATAAAACTTTTAACTCATAGGCACAGTCCACAGAGACTAAGAAATCTCCTGATCCTTTTACAGTACACAATTACAGAATATAAGTTTCTGATATGACTCAGTTTATCCAAATAGCTTAAGAGTAACAAAGTTAGCAAAGACTAGGAGGCTAGACACACATTCTTAAGTATGAATAGACCTTAGATAAGGAGACATTCTCTAAGCCAGTGGTTCTCACCCTTCCCAAGGTTTCTACCCCTCAATACAGTTCCCATGTTATGGTGACCTCCTAACTACATAATCTTTCCTGTTGCTATTTCACAACTGCAATTTTGACATTGCTATGAACTCAATGCACACATCTGACATCCAGGTGGTCCTAGGTTACCTCTTTAAAAAGGTCTTTCAACTCCCAAAGGATTGAGACTCATAGGCTGAGAAGCTGCTCCAAGCCCTTTGCCAGACTACTTAGGTCATTGTCTTGTTGCATCATAAGATAGGAATATCCCAATTTCTGGTGTTTAGTATTTGGTGCTCATAGCTGTAGCCTTAATTTTTAGCCTTTTATTTATTTTTAAGTTCAAATATTCATAATATAAAACATTTTATAAACTTAAAAATGTCCCATAGTCTTGTAAATTTATATTTTAAAAATTGTCCTTTAAAAAATCCAGTTTTTAAAAATTTAAATTTCCTGTAAAAGTCTAAAATTTCTTCTTAAAACTACAATCAACATAAGACAAAAACAAGCTCCAACAGTGCAAGCCACCCACAGCTCAGTATCTGGGATTCATTCACAGTCCTTTGGGTTTTCTCGAAGGGCGTGGATCACCCCTTTGGCCCCATCCTCGGCAGTATACACATAGCCTGCCTTCTAGATCCCAGCCGGCTCCATTTCATTGTGGCTGGTGTTACTGGTGACTGTCACATGACACCAGCATTTCCAAAACTGCTAGGGTCCACCATTGCAACTGTGCTCTCTTTAGCCTCTCTCTAGCCTTGCCACACATGTGCAAACCTCAGCTGTCCCTTATGACCCCTTCATATCTTTAAAATCACTGTCACCTGGGTGACTCTTTTTTTATTTATTTATTTATTTTTTTTTGTTTCTCGAGACAGGGTTTCTCTGTGTAGCTTTGTGCCTATCCTGGAACTCACTCTGTAGCCCATGTTGGCCATGAACTCACAGAGATTCGCCTGCCTCTGCCTCCCGAGTGCTAAGATTAAAGGCGTGCACCGCCACCGCCCAGTCTCTGGTTGACTCTTAAGTTACAATGTTTAGCTGCCAGAGCAAGGTACAGTCTTGCATAGAAAAGCATGGAGGTGCAGCTTTAATACCTTATTAAACAGCATTGTTTTGAAAACCTATCTTTCATAAACCTTGTTCAGGACAGGGCAGGAATTATCATACAAAAATCCATCCCAATCTGAAATATCTTGGAGACCTGTTGTTGCCTCCTGTAGGTCCACTCCATGTGGTCACCTTTAATCAAGATGGTGGTGAAATCACGATATTCACCCTCTCTAACCCTAGCAAAGATGGCAACCATCCACATGGCTGTCTAAAGACGGTGAAAATCCAAAATGTGAGCACGCCACCTGGCTCCTTTAAAATTATTCATGCCTAGACTTTTAATTATCAACTCCCAGGGATACTAGTTTTAACTTTCTGTTCTCAGATTTTACAGATTTTTAACCATATCCAACAAAATAAATTTACAAATCTTTTTTGCTTGTTTGTTTGTTTTGTTTTTTCGAGACAGGGTTTCCTCATAGTTTTGGTGGCTGTCCTGGATCTCGCTCTGTAGACCAGGCTGGACTCGAACTCACAAAGATCCACCTGGCTCTGCACCCCGAGTGCTGGGATTAAAGGCATGTGCCACCACTGCCCGGCTAAAGTTACAAACCTCAAGGTATAGGTGTTCACACAAGCCAAGTCTGATTTTTTTTTTGTCTGTTCTGCTTTCCTTTCTTCTCCCTGTCACTGAGTCAGGGCTCAGACTGACACAGGCCATCCAGGGAACTTTGAAATAAGCATGCCTGGGTCTAGCAGAGGAGAGCCGTAATCCAGCTCTAGAGCCAGCTTTCCAATAAAGAAGAACAGCATAAAATAATTTAAATGTTATCTACACCAAAAAGACATCTGAACTCCTACTAACCCAAATCCAGTGACCAGAGTCACTGGTGGCTGGCACACAGAAACAGCAAAAATATCTGACCCATTTCTGTCTCGGCTCCATACTTGCAACAAAACTTGTGAACACACCAGAAAACAGACAAAACTTTCCAGCAAAACAGGGAGACACAATTCTTGAGAAAAGCAGACAAAACTTTCATGGTCACACCAGAAAACACAGAGAGACAAAACTTACCAACATGACAAACAAAACTTCCAAACAGAACCAGAACCAGATGGGTGGGTAATGTCTCACTATACGCTCTGGGAAGAAGAATATTGGGGTCCCATTGAATCCCCTCCACATCCCAAATAGGGATCCCACAGAACAGAACCAGATTATGACTAACCAGGAGGCCTCCATAGACGTTTGCTGCATTTCTCAGCATGGAAGTTCACTCCGATAATCTGCAAACTGAAAGCAGCTTTGGAGCCTTGGAACCTCTCAAGTCACATGCCTCCTGAAGCCGCCCCTCAACCCCAGAGTGAAGGTCTAGCTTTAGAATTTGGGGGGTGGTGGTCTGAATCTCACTGGGGCCTCCAGGAAATGTTACTCCTACCAATCGAGAATAAGACCACTACCACAGTTTAAAGCCAAATTTGAAGCAAGCATTAATTAAATACTGGCCAGGGGGATGAGCTCTGGCCAGGTCCATACCCAGATTCCTGGAAATGGCCCAGAACCACAGTTTGCAGCAGTTTAAGTAGGAAAACCCATAATGCATCACATTTCCCATCAGGTCCAATCAGGGGCAAGCATACAAACCTGACATACCTCTGGCCTACATCCAATCAGGGGCAATCATACATCCTGATGTATTTCCTGCCTATGAACCTCCTGCCTACATGTGATCAAGCAAAACTTGTTTTGGGCCAAACAAACTTGTTTAGGGAGTGAAAACATGTGCCTTGTTATCTCCCATAAACAATAGCTCCAGCATTTCTGGAACTGTCTGTTCTCAGGCAAGGGGCTTGCAGATCAGAGACATTTTTGTTTCATGGATCTCTTAAGCATAGCAATTAATACTTACAATGTAACTTTGGCTCTCACACTGCCTATTCTGCTTAGTTTTGTTTTGTTGATAAAATTAAGACTTGAGTTTAATTATATGTATGTGTCTGTGTGTGCCCATGAGTACAGGTGTCCACGACTGTGAGTCACCTGATGTGGGTGCCGGAGATTGAACTCTGGAAGAGCAGTATGTGCTCTTAACTACAGAGCCATCTCTGCAGCCCTTGGTGACTAGTTTTAACTACCAATTTGATTCAACTTAAAATCACCTGGGAAGAGAATATCCCTGCCCCCCAAGACAGGGTTTCTCTGTGCAGTCTTGGCTGTCATAGAGCTGGTTCTGTAGACCAGGCTGGCCTTAAACTCACAGAGATCCACTTGCCTCTGCCTCGTGAGCACTGAGAATTAAAGGTATTCACCACCACTGCCAGCCTGGGAAGAGAATCTTAATGAGGTATTATCTAGATCATTTTGGCCTACAGGCATGTCTGTGGATTGCCTTGATTGTTAATTGATGTAGGAAGATTGTCCTAGTTAGGGTTATCATTGCTGATGAAACACCATGACCAAAAGCAACTTGGGGAGGAAAGGGTTTATTTCACTCACAGTTCCACATAACAGTTCATCATCAAAAGCAGTGAGGGCAGGAATTCAAGCAGGGCAAGAACTTATGCAGAGGCCATGGAGGCGTGTTCCTCATGACTTGCTCAGTTTGCTTTCTTATAGAACCCAGGACCAGCAGCCCAGGGATGGCACCACCCTTAATGGGCTGGGCCCGCTCCCATCAATCACTAATTAAGAAAATGCCTTACAGGCCTGCCTACAACCCAATCTTATGGACACTTTTTCTTAATTGAGGTTTCCTTCTGTCAGATGATTCTAGTTTGTGTCAAATTGACATAAAACTATTCAGCACAAAGACCCAGCCCATTGTGGGTAGCACCATTCCCTACGTAGGGAATCCTGAGCAGTATAAGAGAGGCGAAAACTAGTTGAGAACAAGCAAGCGAAGATGAAAACATTCTCTCTGCTCTTGACTGTGGGTATGACTAGCTGCCTGAGTTCCTACCTTGACATCCCCAAAGCAATGGGCTACAACCTGGAACTGTAGCCAAATTAGCCATTTCTTGTCACGACATTTTTTTTCCCTCCATGATATTTTTGTCACAGTAAAAGAAAGAAACAGGACACTGCCTCATACTCCAGAGGAATCTCCGAGGTTGCTGGGTCTCCCTGCCTTCTGCCTCAATGGCCATCTACTGCATGACCAGCCGTCTCAACAGACAGCCCACGTGTGACTCCTCTGGCGCTAAGTGCCACTGGACTCAGTTTCCCACAATGTCATGTGCGTACAGGAAACAGATCATAGGCAGAGGGGTGGTGAGGGGGGTGCAGTGCGATCCCACCTGAAATGGGAGATATTTTGGCTTATTTGGGGACACACAGACTTAGTGAGGACGGCCCCACGGAGAGGCACACACGGGACCGTGGTACTTAATTTGCCAACTGTCCCTGGCCACGCTGCCAGACAAGCCTCTCTGCTTTCCCATTCCCTCCTCATTCTTCTCCTTTTTCTTTTTTAAAATAATCCTGGCTGCATATTTTCTCTAAAGCAAACCATCTGTTTACTAGGTTTTATAAGCAGTAATAAAGGCAGTGAGGGCCCAAGAGCCACTGGGGTGTAGACACGCTTCTGCCTGCCTCTCCAGACAGCCCTTGCACGAGACGGAGTCCACAACACGGGCCTGGAGGTGGTACACCGGTGGACTGTCCTTTGAGGGCCCCAGCAGGACTGGCCTGACTCTCTGCTGCTACCTGTCCCCACAGCAGCATCAGGGGACCTTTGGGTCACCTGCCTGTGGCAAGTTGCCTGCTACATCAGGGGCTGGTGTGGAAGGCCTGGGAAATGAGGTGGCTGCAAGCCGGGCTGAGGAGATGCCAGGAGATCACTCGGAGGGAATGTTCTGAGCCCAGAGGTTGGGTGGACCCAGGAAAACAATCTGACAACAATTCCGAGTGCCTAGGTGACAGAGGGGAAACGAGGCATCTGTTTGGGAACAGATCCCTGCGTTCACTTCCAAGGCCTTCGTAATCCAAGCGGCAGTGAGTGGAACATTCGCTTGGGAAACTATGAAAAGTCATATAACAATGTTCTCTTCACAGCTTTCATCATCTGCTCGCTGGGTTCCGAGTGCCGTCTGTCACCTAATCATAACCAGAGGCTCCCAGGGCCATCTGGCAGGCAGGCGTTAACCACTGCCGTTGACGGTGCTCAGCCCCACGGTGTGCGCGGTGTCCTCCATTCCCAGACCCTCGTGTCCACCCACTGGGCCCGGAAGTCACTGTGGTGGGACTACAGTGTTCCTCTCACAGCGGAGGAAACTGGTGAGGGTGCTGCCAGGAGTTCCAGAGGCTGCCTAAGAGAGGTCAGCCAGAGACGGAAACCCAGTCCAGCCAGACCTTGCTTTGGGGTTTATATTTTATGGTGTGTGTGTGTGTGTGTGTGTGTGTGTGTGTGTGTGTGTGTGTGTGTGTGTGTGTATGTAGGCCAGCGGTTGACACTCAGTGTCTCCCTTAATTATTATTCATTTTAAGATGTATTTTAGTGTGTGTTTCAGGTGGAGGAGAAAGGCATGAAGTGAGAGGCTGTGTGCCCAACATCCTGATTTTTTCAGGGACAGAGAGGCTCTCAGGTTGTTAGGGCTGTGCTACAACCCCCGATGTTCCAAGCAAAGGGGCAAGAGTTGGCCATTGCCATGGGAGGAATGTCCATAGAGAGCGAACAACCCCAGGATTCATGCTCAGCATTCATTGTCTGTCCCAAGGAAACCCAGGAAATCTCTCTGGGATTTAGCCACATGAGACAGAATGGGAGTGGGAGGAGTAGGAGCCAGCCAGCCAGCTGAAGGGGTCAGGACTGGGATATAAGGCTTCTGTGTGGGTAGCAGCCACCAGGAGTCCCAGAGAACAAACTTCTCTAGTCTGTCCAGCTCGGGGGTGCTAGGTGGGAGATGGGCAATTTCAGTCACCTGATTTGTAAAGGAATTTTTGGTGAAAGCTCTCGAATTGAGTACTACTGCCTTTCTCCACAGTGAGTGGAGGCCCTACCAACACTTCTGACAGCCAGGCTGGCCTCTGGGCAGCCAGGGTGAAACCTCTCAGCACCTCTGAGGTGGCCGTCAGTCCCAAACTAGAGCCAGCTCAAGCCACAGGTACCTGGATGTTAGCGTCATGGTTTATTTGGAAGAGGATGAAAGCAGGTCAGATGAAAGGCAGACTTCAGAGCTTCCGGTGGGAAAGCTGCTTCTGCAGGGCGGGCCGCCTGGTTTGTCCGTCCGCACTTGAAGGTACCACTGTAGACTCAATGCTGTCAGGATGTCTGCGGTGACCTACTGTGCTCAGGGAAACGCGCCAGACGCAAGGGCTGCAGGTTGGGCAACTCTGTTTATACGAAGTGTCTGGAGCAGGCAAATGCACAGAGACAGATTAGCAGCTGCTGGGACTGGGGAGTGACTGTCGGTGGTGCGGGGCTCCTTTCTTGTGTGATAAATACGTTCTGGACTTCGGTAATGGTGATGGCTACAGGCTATGACTATATTGAAACCGCTTGAGTTGTACACTTGAAAGTGGCAACTTAACAAAATTTAAATTAAATTTGTGTGTGTGTGTGTGTGTGTCTGTGTGTGTGTGTGTGTCTGTGTCTCTCTGTGTGTGTGTGTCTGTGTGTGTGTGTCTGTGTGTGTGTGTGTGTGT